CATTAAACTTCTCCGCCACGCTATTTGTTTGATGGTGGTAAGGAGTGGCAACCAAGTGATTTACCCCATGAGCTTCCCAAAGGCTTTCCATAGTTCTTGCCAGGAAATTAGTTCCTGCATCTTGAGGATGTCGGAGGGCTAACCTACCCTGGCAAAAATGTCTGCTAGTGCCTGGCACACACTTTTAGCCCTGGTGTTGCTTAGAGCTACTGCTTCTGGCCATCGGGTGGCAAAATCCATGAAAGTCAGTATGTATGGCTTTCCTCTGGGTGTCTTTTTCGGAAAAGGACCCAGAATATCCACAGCTACTCGCTGAAATGGAACTTCAGTGGCTAGAGAGGGGCTTTGACCTGGTCTTGGGGTTTTCCCACTTTTTGGTATACCTCACAAGTCCAGACATAGGTAGAAACATCCTTGCCCATTCCCTCCCAGTGGAATGACCTCCCCAAACGGTCTTTGGTCCTGTTCACCCCAGCATAGCCACTAGGATGACTGTGGGCTAAGCTCAAGAGCTTGACCCGGTACTTAGTTGGAACTACCAACTGTCTCTGAGGATGCCAGTCTTCCTGGTGTCCACCAGAGTTTCGTTGTATAAAAGTCCTCTTTCTACAACAAACCTGGATTGATTAGAAGAGCTGAGAGGCGGTGGGTTGCTCCGTGCCGCCATCAAGCTGTCTGGAGGCTTTCATCTGCTTCCTGTTCGGTCTGGAACTGTTCCCTTGATGCTGGAGACATCAGTTCCTCATTGGATTGTGGACCTATGCTTGGTCCCTCTGGAAGCGATGTAGGGGATGGGGCTGTTTCCGTTGACTGTGAACCGCTCTCCGCTGGGGAACTATGTTGGGGTTCAGGCTCCGGCTGAGCCTCTTGTGTTGGGTTATTGGCTGCTGCCGGTTCAGGTTCGGTGGGGCCCTCTGGTGTTGGGGTTGCAAGTACTGGATTCAGTGCTGGCAGTAGGTCTGGTGCTGGTTGTTCTTCTGGTTCCGGGACTGGCTCTGTCTGGGTCTCTGGGACTGGATCCACTACTGCTGTTGCAGACGCTGGCCTAGGGTCCAGGTCCATCACCTCTGACCGGGTCCTGATAGAAGTTTCCGGAACAGAGCTAGGTGTGACGGCTTGTTTAGCCTGGCTGCGGGTGACCATTCCCACCCGCTAGGCTAGCTTCACATGATTGGCCATGTCTTCCCCCAACAGCATGGGGATGGGATAATCATCATAGACTGCAAAAATCCACGTTCCTGACCAGCCCTTGTACTGGACAGGCAACTTGGCTGTAGGCAAATTGAAAGAGTTGGACTTGAAGGGTTGAATCGTCACTTGGATCTCTGGGTTGATTAAATTGGGGTCCACTAAGGTAGCGTGGATAGCAGACACTTGTGCTCCGGTGTCCCTCCACGCGGTGACCTTCTTCCTGCCCACACTCACAGTTTCCCTCCGCTCCAAGGGTATCTGGGAGGTATCTGGGCCTGAGGACCTCTGGTGTGATTCCGGTGCAATGAACTGTAATCTGTTGGGGTTCTTGGAGCAGTTGGCCTTTACATGCTCCGGCTCATTACATTTAAAACATCGTCTAGCTGACGGGTCACTGGGGTGAGGTGGGTTGCTGGAGAACGGTGTGGCGGGACGATAAGGTGTCTGGAGGGTTTCTTGGGGGTTAACTGGGGCCTTGGGCTGCCCCCAGTAGTAGGGTGTAGTCTGAGGTTGTTCCTTCTGGTATCCGCTCCAACTGCGACCAGTTTTTTTCTTTTCTGCCACCTCTACCCATTTGGCTCCAATCTCCCCCGCCTCGATTACAGTTTTGGGCTTCCCATCTAGGATGTATCTTTCATTTCCTCAGGAACACCCTCTAAAAACTGCTTCATTTGCATTAGGAAGGGCAAATCTTCTGGAGGTTTAACACTTGCTCCTGATACCCAGGCATGCCAATGTTTCACAATGTGATAGGCATGTTGGGTAAATGACATGTCTGGTTTCCACCTTAGGGCTCTGAACTGCCAACGGGACTGCTCGGGTGTTAGCCCCATTCGGACTCTCGCCTTGGTTTTAAACAGTTCATACTGGTTCATGTGTTCCTTATTCATTTCAGCCGCCACGTCAGCTAAAGGTCCACTGAGCTGCGGCCTCAGCTCTACCATGTATTGGTCTGTAGAGATGCTGTACCCAAGACAGGCCCTTTTGAAGTTTTCTAAGGCGGCCTCGGTATCATCGCCTGCCTTGTAGGTGGGGAACTTCCTGGGATGTGAAGTGGTACCTGGAGAAGGATTGCTAGGGTTGTTGGTATATTCTGCTGATCGTTTGCCTTCTCCATCTCCAGTGCATGCTTCCTCTCTTTTTCTTTCTCCTCCAGTTCTTTGTCCCTTGCCTCCATTTCTTTTTCCCTTGCCTCCATAGCTCTCCTGTGGGCAGCCTTCCTTTCCTCCTCAGTATGCTTCCATTCTTTTTCCTTTGTCTCCATAGCTTGCCTGTGGGCAGCCTCTTGGACTTTTTCCTGTTCCTCCATTTCTTTTTCCTTTGCCTCCATAGCTCTCCTGTGGGCAAACTCTTTGGCTGTTTCTGTTTTGGGCTCTGTCATGTTTGCCTGTCTGTTTTTAACTAACTTTACACCCAAGAGTTAGAATTAAAACAAACAAACAAAAAAACCTTGGCTTCTAAAATTTTGCTGTGCTGTAATATGATACCTATATTCTCTGATAGTGATTGTCAGCCTACAGAAAAATCCTTAAAAAAAACCCCCAAAACCTAACACCTTTGTCTCCAGGCAAATAGACAGAAAACCACTCTAGTTGTTCTTAGGTAAAACAAAAACAAAACCTTCTTCAGGTCTGTGAAGACTTGTGAATTTCCCTGCAGGAGGTTAACTACACTCTCTTTAGGTAGAGAAAACTCCAGCTCACAAAAGACAATTCCCTTTTGTCTCTGCTCTGGCCCCCAAGCAGAGACAAAAAAAACCTCTAACTGCTTTCAGCTGAAAACCTGCTTTCCAGCAGCCCAAAGGAAAAAAAATTCCCTTTTTAAAATCTGTGCTTCTTGTTCAGAAACTCTCAAATTGATCTCAAAATGATTTCAAGTTAATCCCACCGCTCTGCCACAATGTCAAGGTTCCTTCCCCACTCTGAATTCTAGGGTACAGATGTGGGGACCTGAATGTGAACCCCCTAAGCTTATTTTTACCAGCTTAGGTTAAAACTTCCCCAAGGTACAAACTATTTTACCTTTTGCCCTTGGACTTTATTGCTGCCACCACCAAGCATCTAACAGATATATAACCAGGAAAGAGCCTGCTTGGAAACATCTTTCCCCCCAAAATCCTCCCCAAACCCTACACCCCCTTTCCTGGGGAAGGCTTGATAAAAATCCTCACCAATTTGCATAGGTGAACACAGACCCAAACCCTTGGATCTTAAGAACAATGAAAAAGCAATCAGGTTCTTAAAAGAAGAATTTTAATTGAAGAAAAAAAGTAAAAGAATCATCTCTGTAAAATCAGGATGGTAAATACCTTACAGGGTAATCAGATTTAAAACATAGAGAATCCCTCTAGGCAAAACCTTAAGTTACAAAAAGACACAAAAACAGGAATATATATTCCATTCAGCACAGCTATTTTATCAGCCATTTAAACAAAACAGAATATAATGCATATCTAGCTAGATTACTTACTAAGTTCTAAGACTCCATTCCTTTTCTGTTCCCTGTCAAAAGCATCACACAGCCAGAGAAGGCCTTTGTTCCTCCCCCCCTCCAGCTTTGAAAATATCTTGTCTCCTCATTGGTCATTTTGGTCAGGTGCCAGTGAGGTTATCCTAGCTTCTTAACCCTTTACAGGTGAAAGGGCTTTTCCTCTGGCCAGGAGGGATTTTAAAGGTGTTTACCGTTCCCTTTATATTTATGACACTCTGTGTAGCAAATTAGCCTGTTTTCTTCTGTGCTCCGAGCAACATTGTTCTACTCTCTCAAATCCCTTCTCAAAATCAGTTTATTTTGGTTACCTTTCCACTGCTGATCTCCACTACATTCTTATCTACTCCTGCTCTTGTACTTGATCAGAAAACACAAAGAAAAAAATATGTAAAACTGAACCATCTGCTCTTATTTTTTTAAAAAAAATGCTCTCCTCAAAGCTGTGTTCTCTTCCCCTTCCATAGACCTCTTCCTTTCTGACTGAAAATACTGTTAGTCACTTTTCATTAGATTATCTCTTTAGATTTTAGGCACTTCACACTTTGAAGATGAGAGAGTCCCTGTCCTGAAGTGTTGTTGTGTAGGCCCATAAACATAATAGCTAATAATTGACATAACAGAGGACTGATTTAACTGTAATTGGGATGATAATTAAATCGACTAAGCCCTTCTGTACTTTTTAGATGACACAGGTAAGAGTAAGCAGGAGCAAACTTGACTTGAACTATTTTGATGGAGGCTATGAGGGAGGTTAAACAATAATGAAAGCTGAATCTGAGGCATAAGAAAACTGAATTTAACTTTTTCAACTCATTTCAATATATTTGTGTTTTGTGGCTTGATATTGCTTAATTACTAGTGGAGTATATGTGTGGGAGGAGGAGAGTTAAATTTCCCAGGGGTTCTCAAAATCCCTGTTAGAGCAAACCTCAGGGCTTCACTTCAAACCATTGTGCTACCAACTGTTGACTAGCTGGTACTCCCATTGGAACCTGTGGATGTTTTTTGTTAATTGGCTGGGATGGTCACTGTGTAATGCAAGGTGTTGCCTACCTGATGTGCTGCTCTGTAGCAGTCCCAGCTTTTTGCTGGTAATCAGTCCTGTGTTTCTTCCTTGAGAAATCTGGAATGATTTTACTTGATAGTGTTTGGTTTGCAAGCCTTAACTTGTAAGTCTGACAAACATCTCTTTTCAAGGGGAATTCAGTTATTGTGGCATATAGACAGGTAACTTTATTTTAATCCATGTCATAACCCCAATGCTTTTTTTTATAGATGCATAATAAAATAGCTGACTTTATTCAATATTTTCTCTTCAGTCTCCAGAGGGTGCTGAGGGCAAGGATGCAGCAAAAATAACTAAACAAGAGGCAAGTATAACTCCTGTTTTTCATCTATTGTGGTTTTATATTATTAAATTGGAGATTCCCAGTTTTATAAGACTAAATAGTATTTGTTGCTTCATAGAGAACCACTTATGATGAGGGGTTTTTATGGGAATTATGATACTGGTGTTAAAACTGCAAATGTACCACAGATTTGGTTTACTTGGTAAAATTTAATCCTTTGGTACTGAAGAATCAGAGGATGCATTGCTATATTAGGCATTTTCCAGTAGCACGTTAGTTGATGGGGAAGGATCCTGAATCCTAGTGCCATGGGAATTTAGCTTGCCCCCCACCCCCCACTTCTTTTTAAATCCAGTAAGGAAGTTCACTGCTTTGATTTCAAAAACTGAATGAACATTCAGGTGAATTAACAGTGAATTTCCTCTTTTTAAAGTTATGAACATTCTCCAAAGGGCACATTTGAACTGAAAACATGAATAAGAACATAAATTATAGGTCTCTGGAAAATGTAAAAATTAGTGAGCCAAGACAAGGAAGCTGACTTGAGGCTCAGTCATTTAGGAAAAAAATGGTGCAGTGGAAGGGGCAAAACAATAGCAATATTAAATCATAACTCCTTGAAGGAATAAATGAGCTCTTTGGAAAAGGGTGTCTTGGTTTTTGGATTATTAGTAGCAGTGTCTTCCTGTGACATTTCCTAGAAGATCAAGAAAAGAAGCATATGATGGCACAAATCAGTAGAGTTGAGAGTTTTATGTAGTTTCTATTATATCTTATAAAATATTATTATTACAAAGGCAGGTTAAAAAGAATACCTTAGGCAAGTATTAAACTTTTAATGTGACTTACTTTGTGTAAAACAATACAGATTCTTCTCCTGTATACATGTTGAAATATTGTTTCCTCAAAATAAAATAATTTTGAAGGAGGGCAGTCCTAAGGTTCCCCCCCTTTGCCCCCAAAGATTTGACAGACATCACTGATGTCCATTGGTTACCAGTATAAAGAATGAACATTTCTAGCTTCTAACTAGGAGCTTGCAGATGCCTGCAAGGTTTCTAAACTGTTTCAAAAGAGCCTGTTCTCTCTCAAACACAAGAACACCCATCGTGGACATGGAGTCAAGAATAGATATGATGGCTTTGTTCACAAGGGCATTATAGCTCTCTGTATGTAACTTCTGTTACCTATAAGGACTGAGGTGCAGTCAGATAGCAGAGCTTCTAGGCAAAATGGGACAAGAGAATTAAATAACCTACCCTCTCCACTCAGGGGATTTTTAAAGAATTGTGTTTAACTCACTGTGCTCCTGATGTTAGTGCAAACCCTTATGTGAAGCAGATCAGTGAGTAAAACCTTCTACTACATGACCAAAGCCGTTGTAGCCTCTTTATATATTTAAAAAATAAATCATTGTGATTTAGATGAGCGCTGTCTTATCTGTACCTTCTATTGTTCAAATGCTTTCTGGAGAACCAGGGGATGTAAATGTAGATTTAAGTTGGGACTTGGGGTACAGGGGATCTACAATTCTGTACTTACAAACTAATGGAAATGCTGTCTTTTTAAACTGTTTAACAGTGGTGCTGGGAAAACTGATAGTGCTCAACAAATAGATATCCCAAATCACTAAGAGAAGAGATGTATAGATTTTAGAAAGATGTATAAATACTAGAAGCTGAAAATCAGTTTTGTTTTGTTTTTTTTCTTGGACAAAACCTTCCTCCTGCCAAGACCCGTGTTCAAGATTTTATTTACCCTGTAGGTATTTACTAGTAAGGGACAGTAAAATCATTACACGGAACACCGCTGACTGTACTCCTCCGGTGTTGATGGCCTCATCTGTTGCAGGAGAAATGCAGAACCTTTGACACAGGTTTTTCAGGTCACCTTTGAAATGTATTTTTTATATATTGTTGGTGGGTTTTTTTTTTTTTTTCTTTAAAGCCTTTCAGTTCATCTTTAGGTTCTGTTTTGTTGGGGGATGGGTTACAAATCAGGTAAGGGACATCTGAATATAAACATGGTTCCAAAATTGTAGCATAGACTAAATTTTATCTGTTTTTCTTTTAACCAAGACAAAGCCTTGGCCAAATCAAAACAGTACAAATAGAGCTGAGTCAGGGACTAGTTACATGTTTTGTCTTGACCCTGTTACAACACAATTCCAGTTTTTAATATACATGAGCTCTTTAGTCATGCTCTGTAACCAGCTTCATGAACTCATCTGTTGTTTTAATGAATTCAGGGGCCTGGGAGTGGAGAACAAGATAGTCTGGGAAATATTATTTAAAAACAAGTTTTCTCATCTTCCACACTTGACTTATGAAAAAAAGTAGAGACATTTAATTTTATTTGTGGGTGGGGGAGAGGAGTTCACATCTTTTATTTTTCCCTTAATAATTTTCTTTAAGTGGAAAAACAGTCAAATTCTTACTCTCTGCTCCTGCAACTGGCTCTGTGCAGGTGGTCTCCTGTAACCACATGGTATCAGCTGCAGGACTGGTCCTTAATTTACTTCTTTTAAATATCAGCAGTGTACTAAGGGACACCATCAACTTAACTTGCATTTCTGTCAGAAATTCTTTTTACAGTGTTAAAAGTAACAGCTAAGAGATTAAAGAAACACTGTTCTCCTCAATATTTTCAGTTCACTTGCTTTGTGCTTTTGACAGTCCTCTATAGAATCAGTTTCACTGTTTCCACTGTGTAGACAGTTGGTCTCTCCTATTTGCATAGGCCTTTCACACAGCATTAAGGGTGAGATAAACACTTATAAAATAGGTCACTGTTATTATAAAACTGCACTTGCTCCCAAATCTGTCAATATTTGTAGTCACTGAAACTTCTGAACTTTGTGTGTGTGTAAGCAACTGGATTTGAAGTTCACTATGTCTCTTTAAAACTCAAAAAATCCAGTGGAGGAGGCACCCTTTATGTGTATTTGGAAGTAAGGACTTTTGTTGTCCTAATGGTATATTTTAAGTTATCATCAAATGAATGAGTAACATATTTTGCCTTGGTTTGACTATGATCTGCTGAAAGCCTACAAACATTTTTTTCCCCCTTTTTATAGCCCACAAGACGATCGGCAAGATTGTCAGCTGTAAGTATTCCTAAAGAGCTGTTGCTGTATACCTTCCTAGGCACATGCTTTCTCATGCCAAGCAAACAGGATGTCATATTTTGTTGGATTCATTTATTCCTGAAGACCATTAAAGCTCTCTGGAGGGAAGGATGTTTATATTAATTCCTAAAAAGAACTGTGTTCTTTTCTTTCACTGGTATGCCTGTTGCATACAAAATGTGACTTGGCATTTCTGGAAGCTCTATCTCCTGATAGGTCAACAGATCCTGGTTGTGAAGATGCAACTTCCTCTGTGAAAGACGGGGGGCCACTGTAACGGGGCTGGATTTGATACTTTTTGGTTATTTTTCTTTGTTAGATATGGGTAGAAGGACAAGTAGGAGGGGGGAATCTCCCTTTTTCTTCCCAGTAAATTTGCTTAATATATGTGTGTTCATATATTAAAAACAATAATAATTAATAAATAGCCCACTTCAGGAGGAATAGAGGAGGAAGAACCTTCTAGCAATGTCACATTAGATAGGCTAAAGGGGAGGGTGAGTTCTGTTAATGGTTCACCCCAAACTCACTGTTAAACTCTTAAAATGATTCCAAAATTACTTTCACTCCTGCATATGGTGAGCCAGTAGATACAGGCTAACTTAGTCTATGGTGTCAGTTGAGGTATATCTGAACATGAAACTTTTCTGGTCTTTTAAGAGGCGCATAGTAGGAAGTAAGGGAAATGTCTGGGTGAGAGGCTAGTAGTGAATTATCTAATATATTGTGTAACTGGAAATGTTTTATAGAAACCTGCTCCACCAAAACCTGAACCCAAACCAAGGAAAACCACAAAGGTAAAATTCCTGTAATTTAAATCACTATAATCAAATAATCATGTATTTTTGTTTTTGCATTGCATATTTCATTCTGTTTCAAATGTGCATGGACAACTTCTGAAGCATCAACATTTTTTCATGTTTTATCTTTAAAATAGCAAAACAAAGACGCACACACTTCTGTCCTAATTTAAATGTATTGCTGTCTGCCTGCAATGCATACTCTGTCAGCCGCATACTCTTGCTTCCTAAGCAGAGCTATTCACTGTAGCAACATCTTTTCCTTCCCCAGAGATGGCGCCCACCTTTCCTGGACTTGCAGGGTTGGTCAAGGTGGCTCCACTACCAACCTGGGACCTAGCAGTTCCCACACTAGTGTGTCAGTTTATTCAGCATTGCCCTCCCTGCTTGACTAAATGGACAGTACTCCACCCACTAGTGAGACGCTCTTGTCTTATACATATTTTTCTTATGAAAATGCAGCTATTGCCAAGGATGCTGATTATAAATAAAGGTAGAATTAAAGATATGGCTAAATGAGGTGGTGTTGACTTTCTAGGCCAAATACAGTCAAAATAAAAATTCTATGGTACATACATAGGTTAGTAGTTTGACACTATTAAGAGAAGTTCTAGAAAGGTTCTTCAGAAAACAGATTTAGTGGGGCCCAAGGAAGATGCAAAATAAGAACAATTGTTGTACCAGAAAAAGCATGTTGGGGGGGAAACTGTTTTAGCCCTCCCCAGTGTATATTTCTGATTGACAAATATTAGAATCTTAAGATCCAGTATATGAGTTTCTAATTCTGTGACTTGGCACATTTTGGGTGTAAACCTATCATATCTGATATTACTGACTAAATAATGTTAAGATTATCATGTTCTCTCAAAAAGTGATTTATAGTTTGGGGGAAACAGGTTTATATAAAAAAGGAGGAGGGAGGAGCTTATTAAAGAAGGGAATGTGGTAGGTTTTATCTTTTTCAGTACAAGTAATGAAAATGTAGCTTCAATATGTGTCCTTAACAAAAGAGGACATATTTGAGGCATATTTCCAGGACTTGATTCTTTGATAAGAACTATAATTTAATATGCTGTTTTGTTTTTTTTAAACAACCACCTGTTTACTCAAACTATAATTTGATTACATTTAAGCACAGGATTAAATTTGGTCTAGATACAGTTGAGCAAGTCTTACACAAAATGAGCAAGCTTATACTTTGATCAACTAATAAGAAATTTCTGATTAACATTATGTTGTAAGTAATTTCAGATATGGTAATTTTTAGTGTTCAAAGCTAACATATAGCAGTTTTACAGACTCAAATATTTAACTGTCCCTGTCAACTGTGAAGACTTACCTAGAATGTATACATTCTTGCTAAAGGATTAAAACTCAGAAAGTAGTTTCTATGTAGATAAATGGAAGGAAGCTTGATCTTAATATACTATTGGACAGTAATAGTTGACTCTTTCTTTTTTGTGGGGGGAGGGAGGAGTAGAGAAGTGGGGAGCATGGAACATCTCCTTCTAAATGTCTGTCAGGATTAATCTCAATACCCAATGCCAAATCCTCAACCTTACCTTTGTAACCCCATAAAGACTTTACAAAATTGGGTAGCGAAGCATAGGCCTCTGCTGGCATTGCAGGTCTCAACAGGTACTCTTAAGTGGGTCTAGAACACATGGAGCGGTAGAACAGATACAAAAATAATAGGTCTTAGCCCATTGTTCTGCTATCTAACAACATTGTTCTGCCCATTGTTCTTCTATGTAAACCTCCAAATGAAAATGTAACTTTCCCCCACCCCTAACTGGGTTCCTGTTCATAGCTTCTTGCCTTTCTGTTACTGCTGACTGGTGAAATTCCCTGTGTGACAATTCTAGAATATTCGTTCATTAACATCTGGGGTGTTCTTTCCAAAGAGAAACATGCAAGCCTAAAACAGCAAAAATTACTTAATTTTTCTTCTCTGATATAATAAGGATGTTACTAAATCAGCCTGATATCCTTAAGACATTGGGGGGGCTAGTTCCTCAGCCAGTGTAAGTTGGTGCATTTCCATTGAATTCAAAAGTGCTGTGCCATCACATCATCTGTTGTTCTGGTCCAGTTAATGTGCTTGACTGTATAAGACTTTAACAGATGGTACTTGTTCTGATATTTATGTCCATCCTGGTTTGTTTTTGTATAGTGTATGGACTGTTTTCTTATTCTACTAGTGTAATAATTTTTTAAATCCCTGAAAGTTAAGAGAAACAATAGAGTTTCAGTTACATTTTGCTAGTGATGGCAGCAGTTGTAGGAGAGTTTTAGAACACTCAGCTGGGGCACTTGTGGGTAAAAGCATTCCAGATCCACTTTACAGAGGTAGCTGACATTTTGTACTAATTTGTCACACACAACTTACTCATACAGTAGATAGTTCATAGACATAGTTCATAACAAGTATCCAACATCTTCTAATGCACACTTTATCCATGTTTTTGATCCTCCATCAGAAGGAACCTGGAACAAAGGCTAACAAAGGTGCTAAAGGGAAGAAGGATGAAAAGCAAGAAGCTGCAAAGGAAGGTACTACACCATCTGAAAATGGTGAAAATAAAGCTGAAGAGGTACTTTCCACACAGACCTCCCACTGATTGAAGCAGTATTTTTTTAAAAATTATTCAATCTTTCAGCCATTGATAGCATGTTCATAATGTTTCTTTTTATTGCCCATAATGTTATTGCAGATTCGCATCTCTCGCTCAACTGTTAGTGTTTCAACATCCAGAGGTGCCCCACCCAGCACACTGTCAGTAAAAGGGCAGATTGAAACAGTGAAAGTTAAGGGTACGGTAGAGCATTCTGCATGTGTGCAGTGAATAGAAACAGATAGTAGTGTGGTGCTTTTCATTATGAACAATGGAAGCTGGCAGGTAAGGCTTCTATGGCTTTTGAAAAGCAGGGATCAATAAATGAAGACAAGGGTGTGTGTACCTGTTGTGTCTGTAAACATAATACTAAAATAGTTTGAAATTGAGCCCCTGCAAATAATGCATCAAAGGAGAAGGTGCTAGTGTGGGGGCTTTTATGATGTGTGGAGCAGTAACTTTTTATAGTAATTGTTGTTTTTTTGTTTTTTTCCCCCTTCCCCTTCGCAGGCACAGAGAACTGAATCTGTAGGTGACAAGAGCGAATGAATTGTCATGAAAATTTTGGGTTGATTTTATGTACCTCTTGGACAACTTTTAAAAGATATTTTTATCAAGTATTTTGTAAATGCTAATTTTTTTAGGACGATGATAGTTGACATATTAAACTGTATAGGAACATATCCCTTCTCATAACCATGCTCTTAGAAATTCCCATTGCTGCCAAGTAATATAAATATCAACTTAGCATTGGAAGGTGTGTGTCAAATTGGATCAGCATTCCATACACTCGCTTTAAGAAATTAAGTCTTGTGCATATGGTGATGGTTTTTACTGTGTGTATTTGAATTTTTCATGCAGTTTTTCTAGAGCAATAATCAGTGGTGCTTTTGTACTTAGGGTTTATGTGATTTTAATGAAACATGGATAGATGTGGCCACCTGCTGACTATTCTGGGTTCTATTAATGGATTAAAATAAAAGGTCTCCTTGCCTGCAAATCTACAGCCTCCTAATGTTTTCTCTAAATTTGAGGAATGCCTGACTCATTTTTTAACTATTGTGTGGAAGACTAAATGGTTTAGCAGCTATTGTGTTCTGCATGCACTACGTTTAACGCTTTTTGCTGGTCTCTAATAAACATATTTAAATGTCCACATATGAGTAACAGGTCAAGATTTTCAATGGTCCACATATTAATGGACTTCTCAATATGAACCAGTGTATTCGTATTTACTATCACAGCTGTGTATTACTGTACCAGTATAACATACAGTGAGATACCAAAACAGAATGAATTGCTTGATTGAAGCAAATGTACAGTAACTGAAAGGCATGCAGGAGTAGCTTTGCTTCCTCTCTCCCTGCCCTCTCACCCCCATCCAATACAGGAGTTTTTAATTTCAGCAGCCTATTACATGGGACTCTTGTTTCTATCTACAGCCCCAAATTTAACATAAAATAGTAATTGCTGTTCTGCTTCAGCAGACAACAGTTGTAAATGTACTGCAATTGCTGTTAAACAGCACTATACTTGGTATGTGGTGGAGATGGAACAATTAAAGTATTTTTGAGGGGCTTGTGGTGGTGGTAAATTAGCTAATGATCTTTTGTACCTATACATTACACCTCTCCAGCTCATTATAAGCGCCTTTGATAGTTTTCTCTTTATCCTCTTCTGGAACTCTAGTATTTCTATTATTGTTTGTGGGGGGTTGGAAGGTGAGAAAGAAATGTTCCCTGTTCAGTAACATTTATTTGTATTGCTGAAGTGGTGGCCATTATATCTGGGGATACTTTTGTTTGTTTCAGTCAATAAATAAATGACTGTATTGCTTGACCTTAGTGTCTTCTTTATTATTTAGGAAGCAAGTTGTCATCTGCAGTAGCCTGGTGTTAATTTTTTAACCCTCACCCCCTTCAGTTATATTACATTTACATAATAGCATCCAATGCCGCAATCAGGATCAGTGTTTCTATTTTGATAGGCCCCGTGCAATAGCATAAGGACTTGCTGTCCCAACACCAAGGAGCTTACCATCTAAGAACAGGTTGAAAATAAGGGTAGTGATAGAAGGGGACACAATAAAGATGACAATCCAATTAGAAGGGAAGCGGTTACTCCTCTTCATAGAATGATTTCTGCACAACACTCTATGATTTGCTTGCTAAAGACAGGCCCTGTTGAGGTGGGTCTATCAATCTAAATACATATGGTCCCCCCATCACCATAATATCTGAGTCACTCCCAAACATTAATGAATTTATGCTTTCCCCACCGCCACGGGTTAGAAAGGTAGCATTACCCCCATTTTATAGATGGTGACCGAGATAGAGATTAAGTGATTTGGCCAGTGTCACACTGTAAGTCTATGTCAGAGCTGGGCTTTGAACCCTGATCTCCTAACTCCCACTATGGTGCCTTAACAATAAGACCATCCGTTTTCCCAGAAAATTCCACTCAGAAGAACTTCCATAAAATTCTAGATCCCTAAAATTCCTGTTTATTCACTTAAGACTTCTGATTTCCAGAAAAATTGAGACATTTATGTATATGGTATTTTCTATTTTTTTCCCCTCTCTAGTCACTGAGACCCCTTGTGTAAAATTTTCAAAGCACTCCATTGGATTTTAGGACACACTTCTTTTTAACCCTCAAAATGCAGGCACTTTGCATGCCTCTAACCAAACGAGTGCTTTAAAATTGTGGTCTGTAGTCAATTGGTGATCTGCAGACCACCTCCAGGTAATCTGGAGCTACTTCTGAAATTGCTTTAGCTATGAAATGCTAACTTAAAGGTGCCAGGTGTCTTAGAGTTCATGGCAAGTTAAATTTTTTTAACAAAATTAGCTTAGTAGTTTTAAAGCTTAGTTATCAAGCTTAAAATTTTTTACAAGTAGTCTTTTAAACTAATTCAAAGTTAGTGTGGTTTAAAATATTTAAAACTATTAAACAGATTGTCTTCAAATGTGATGTGTTCAGTAGCTATCAAAATAAAGCCAAAATTGGAAGACTGTAAGTACTTATTGTAGGTCAGGTTACATAAAACCTTCAGTTTATTTTAGATGTTGTATTTCACAAATCCTTTATAATATAAAGAGACCATGTTTTAAGGCATAAGCACAACAGAGCTGAGTTAAGGTTGAACTTTCAACCTTAAATGTAGATTTCTCAATCCAACTGTTGTGTTCATGATGGTTTTACCATATATTAATTTTAAAATATATCACTGTTTATTGTAAATCAAACTCTTTTTCTAAATTATTACTAAAGTATTACTAAATTCCCATGGTCGTAACTCTCCTTATTAAGCAGTCAGCCACTTTTATCCAGTGCTTACAATCTATTTAAAATTCTGCTTCTCATCTAATTGTCCCTTCCAAGTTATTCTATCCCTCTGCCAATTCAGTTGCATTGAATTACAACTGAATTTGAGATTCAGATTGAAAATCCTATTGCTGCCATTTTAAGGTTCTTGAAGCACTAATCACCAATATATTTAGAATTTGTAAAAATCTATTCTATTGTGCAGCCTTATGGTGTTTTAAAATTGTGTCATTTGTTTTTTGCACTGGTCTAGTAGAGTTCTGATTTTTTTCTCATATCTGATTTTTGTCATATTACGTTTAAAACCACCTACTTTTCAAAATATTTTTCCTTTTACTGTTAACTTTGTTTTGCTTTTTGCATTTTAAAGTTTACTTTTAAAGACTGTTACAGTAGTCATGAAAACTAAGTTCCGTTAGAAATCAAATGAAATGCAAAATAAAAAGGGAAATTACTTATTGCTATTTTTGTTTTGTAGTTCTCTTTTCTCATCTACGCTAATAATGCTTACACAAGTTATGGCTTTATTTACCAAGAACCAGGCTGGTTCCTATAAAGGGGACAGTTAGCCCATTTCCTGTGTCAGTTTTTCTTTCCCTTGCCTGTGAATACAATCATGTAACACAGTCCTCTAGCTCTAATACAAATACTCACTCACCCGGAATAGCTAGTGAGAAACATCAAGGCTTTCCACCCTTGGAACCACTGGGGATGTGAAGTTTGAGTTCTGTATGAACAGGGGAGTAGTAAGGAGAAAGAGAGTGGTAATTTTTTTTATCTCTGCCTATGGGATTGGTGAGACCATAACTGGAATATTATGTAGCATTCTGGTGTCAACATTTTTTAAAGGATGATGAAAAATTGGAGAGACTGCAGAATCATAGAATATCAGGGTTGGAAGGGACTTCTAATCCAACCCCCCTGCTCAAAGCAGGACCAATCCCCAACTAAATCATCCCAGCCAGGGCTTTGTCAAGCCTGACCTTAAAAATATCTAAGGAAGGAGATTCCACCACCTCCCTAGGTAATGCATTCCAGTGTTTCACCACCCTCCTAGTGAAAAAGTTTTTTCTAATATCCAACCTAAACCTCCCCCACTGCAACTTGAGACCATTACTCCTTGTTCTGTCATCCGCTACCACTGAGAACAGTCTAGATCCATCCTCTTTGGAACCCCCTTTCAGGTAGTTGAAGGCAGCTATCAAATCCCCCCTCATTCTTCTCTTCCGCAGACTAAACAATCCCAGTTCCCTCAGCCTCTCCTCATAAGTCATGTGTTCCAGTCCCCTAATCATTTTTGTTGTCCTCCGCTGGACTCTTTCCAGTTTTTCCACATCCTTCTTGTAGTGTGGGGCCCAAAACTGGACACAGTACTCCAGATGAGGCCTCACCAATGTTGAATAGAGGGAACGATCATGTCCCTCAATCTGCTGGCAGTGCCCCTACTTATACATCCCAAAATGCCATTGGCCTTATTGGCAACAAGGGCACACTGTTGACTCATATCCAGCTTCTCATCCACTGTAACCCCTAGGTCCTTTTCTGTGGAACTGCTGCCTAGCCATTCGGTCCCTAGTCTGTAGCGGTGCATGGGATTCTTCTGTCCGAAGTGCAGGACTCTGCACTTGTCCTTGTTGAACCTCATCAGATTTCTTTTGGCCCAATCCTCTAATTTGTCTAGGTCCCTCTGTATCCTATCCCTACCCTCCAGCGTATCTACCTCTCCTCCCAGTTTAGTGTCATCTACAAACTTGCTGAGGGTGCAATCCACACCATCCTCCAGATCATTTATGAAGATACTGAACAAAACCGGCCCGAAGACCGACCCTTGGGGCACTCCACCTGATACCGGCTGCCAACTAGATGTGGAGCCATTGATCACTACCCGTTGAGCCTGACAATCTAGCCAACTTCCTATCCACCTTATAGTCCATCCAGCCCATACTTCTTTAACTTGCTGGGAAGAATACTGTGGGAGACTGTGTCAAAAGCTTTGCTAAAGTCAAGGAATTAAACATCCACTGCTTTCCCCTCATCCACAGAGCCAGTTATCTCGTCATAGAAGGCAATTAGATTAGTCAGGCATGACTTGCCCTTGGTGAATCCATGCTGTCTGTTCCTGATCACTTTCCTCTCCTCTAAGTGCTTCAGAATTGACTCCTTGAGGACCTGCTCCATGATTTTTCCAGGGACTGAGGTGAGGCTGACTGGCCTGTAGTTCCCAGGATCCTCCTCCTCCCCTTTGTCCAGTCATCTGGGACTTTCCCCAATCTCCATGAGTTTTCAAAGATAATGGCCAATGGCTCTGCAATCACATCTGCCAACTCCTTTAGCACTCTCGGATGCAGCGCATCTGGCCCCATGGACTTGTGCTCGTCCAGTTTTTCTAAATAGTCCCGAACCACTTCTTTCTCCACAGAGGGCTGGTCACATCCTCCCCATGCTGTGTTGCCTAGTGCAGTACTCTGGGAGCTGATCTTGTTCGCGAAGACAGAGGCAAAAAAAGCATTGAGTACATTAGCTTTTTCTACATCCTCTGTCACTAGGTTGCCTCCCTCGTTCAGTAAGGGGCCCACACTTTCCTTGACTTTCTTCTTGTTACTAACATACCTGAAGAAACCCTTCTTGTTACGCTTAAGATCTCTTGCTAGCTGCAACTCCAGGTGTGATTTGGCCTTCCTGATTTCACTCCTGCATGCCTGAGCAATATTTTTATACTCTTCTCTGGTCCTCTGGTCATTTGTCCAATCTTCCACTTCTTGTAAGCTTCTTTTTTGTGTTTAAGATCAGCAAGGATTTCACTGTGAAGCCAAGCTGGTCGCCTGCCATATTTACTATTCTTTCTACACTTTGGGATGGTTTGTCCCTGTAACCTCAATAAGGATTCTTTAAAATACAGCCAGCTCTCCTGGACTCCTTTCCCCTTCGTGTTATTCTCCCAGGGGATCCTGCCCATCAGTTTTCTGAGGGAGTCAAAGTCTGCTTTTCTGAAGTCCAGGGTCTGTATTCTGCTGCTCTCCTTTCTTTTCTGTGTCAGGATCCTGAACTCGACCATCTCATGGTCACTGCCTCCCAGGTTCCATCCATTTTTGCTTCCCCTACTAATTCTTCCTGGTTTGTGAGCAGCAGGTCAAGAAGAGCTCTGCCCCTAGATGGTTCCTCCAGCACTTGCACCAGGAAATTGTCCCCTACACTTTCCAAAAACTTCCAGGATTGTCTGTGCACTGCTGTATTGCTCTCCCAGCAGATATCAGGGTGATTGAAGTCACCCATGAGAACCAGGGCCTGCGATCTAGTAACTTCCGTTAGTTGCCGGAAGAAAGCCTCGTCCACCTCATCCCCCTGATCTGGTTGTCTATAGCAGACTCCCACCACGACATCACCCTTATTGCTCACTCTTCTAAACTTAATCCAGAGACTCTCAGGTTTTTCTGCAGTATCATACCGGAGCTCTGAGCAGTCATACTGCTCTCTTACATACAGTGCAACTCCCCCACCTTTTCTGCCCTGCC